AAGCTACCTTTCAAATAAAATTATACTTTTACTTTTTATAACAGGATCTACTTTGTAAATATTAAGATATTGATACTAGTAGAGGCCTCACTATCCTCACATTTAGTTGTTACAGAATACAGAAACAATAAAAAATGAATGTTATTTAGATCAAAAGATGATTACTATTAACTTAGCAGTGAAACAGCAGATACTTACACAATATACCACAATCTCTATTTCCAAGCATCTAAGGGAACAGTCTTGTGTTAGGATAGAAGTCTGCCTAGAATCCCATAAACTATACAAACCACTGGGGCTTACCCTCCAGTATAAAGGCTGAGATAGAGGAAAGGAAGAAGGGCAATGGTGAACAGAGTTTTGTCAAGAGAATGCACTGGTCATAGCAAACACCCTCTTCCAGCAAAACAAGAAGAGACTCTACACATGGACATCACCAAATGGTCAATACTCAGCTTCATGCCTAAATTTTGCAGTCAGGAGCTCATGATCTGAGCCACAGTCTGCTCCATGTCTTGTTTTTGCTAACTGTACAGAGCTTCTCCATCTTTAGCTGTAAAGAACATAACCAGTCTGATTTCAGTAGAGCACCTAAAGAACTCTGGACGGAAGTTCGTAACACTGTATATGAGGCTCTGACGAAAACCATTCTGGAGAAAAACACATGCAGTAAGGCTAGGTGGCTGTCTGAGGAGGCTTTACAAATAGCTGAGACAAGGAGAGAAGTGAAAGGCAAGGGAGAAAGGGAAAGACATACCCATCTGAATGCAGAGTTCTAGAGAATAGCAAGGAGAGATAACAAGGCTTTCTTCAAGGCATAATGTAAAGCGGCAGAGGAAAACAATAAAATGGGGAAGACTAACAAATCTCTTCAAGAAAATTGGAGATATCAAGGGAACATTTCATGCAGAGATGGGCAAAATAAAGGACAGAAATGTTATGGACCTAACAGGAGCTGAAGATATTAAGAGTTGGCAAGAATACACAGAAGAACTATACAAAAAAAGGTTTTAAAGACCCAGATAACCACGATGTTGTGGTCACTCACCTAGACCCAGACTTTCTGGAGCATGAAGCTGAGTGGGCCTTAGGAAGCATTACTACAAACAAAGCTAGTGGTGGTGATGGGATTCCAGCTGAGCTATCTAAAAATCTGAAAACAGAATGCTGTTAAAGTGCTGTGTTCATCATGCCAGCAAATCTGGAAAACTCAGCAGTGGCCACGGGACTGGAAAAGGTCAGTTTTCATTCCAATTCCAAAGAAGGGCAATGTCAAAGAATATTCAAGCTACCATACAATTGCTCTCATTTCACATGTTAGTAAGGTTAGACTCACAATTCTTAAAGCTAGGCTTCATCAGTATGTGAACCTAGAACTTCCAAATAAACAATCTCAGTTTAGAAAAGACAGAAGAACCAGAGATCAAATTTCCAACATTTGTTGGCTCATAAAGCAAGGGAATTCCAGAAAGACATCTACTTCTGCTTCATTGACTATGCTAATGTAGTCAGTGAAGACTGTGTGGATCACAAAAAACTATGGAGAGTTCTTCAAGACATGGGAATACCAGACCACCTTACCTACCTCCTGAGAAACCTGTACGCAAGTCAAGAAGAAACAGTTAGAACCAGATATGGAATGACAGATTCAAAATTGGGTAAAGGAGTATGACAAAGCTGTATATTGTCACCCTGCTTATTTAACTTATATGCAGAGCACATCATGCAAAATGCCAGACTAGATGAATCATAAGCTGAAATCAAGATTGCCGGGAGAAATAGCAACAACCTCTTGATATGCAGATGATGCCACTCTAATGGCAGAAAGCAAAGAGGAACTAAAGAGCCTCGTGATGAGAGTGAAAGAACAGAGTGAAAAAGTTGGCTTAAAACTCAACATTCAAAGAACTAGTATCATGGCATCTGGTCCCATCCCTTCATGGCAAACAGATGGGGGAAAAGTGGAAGTAGTGAGAGATGTGGGCTCCCAAATCACTGCAGACAGTGACTGCAGCCATGAAATTAAAAGATGCTTGCTCTTTGGAAGAAAAGATATGACAAACCTAGACAGCATATTACAAAGCAGAGACATTACTCTGCCAACAAAGGTCCATATAGTCAAAGATAATGGTTTTTCCAGTAGTCATGTATGGATGTGAGAGTTGGACCATGAAGAAGGTGGAGCACCAGAGAACTGATGCTTTTGAACTGTGGTGCTGAAGAAGACTCTTGAGCAAAGAGATCAAACCAGTCAATCCAAAAGGAAATCAACCTGGAATATTCATTGGAAGGACTGATGCTGAAGCTGAAGCTCCAATTCTTTGGTCACCTGATGTGAAGAGTAAACTCACTGGAAATGACCCTGATGCAGAGAATGATTGAGGGCAGGAGGAGAAGTGGGCAGCAGAGTTAGAGACGGTTATATAGCCTCATTGTCTGAATGGATATGAATCTGAGCAAACTCCCGGAGATAGTGAAGGTCAGGGGAGCCCGGCGTTCTGCAGTCCATGGGGTTGCAAACAGTCTGACATGACTTAGCAACTGAAAAATAACAACAAAGGGGAAAGGAGAGGGGTGTGGGAATCCTAGTAAGGGACACACAATAAAAATTTAAAAGTTAGTCCTCTTCCTCTCATCCTTCGGTCAGTTTACATTAGATTTGTTCTAACTTATGAGAAAATCTCATTAAGTCGTGACTAAGTGTGAAGAAATACAATGAGACCCTAGCAGAATCCACTGGAGTATACAGTTTTGTTGTTTTAAACATTTCCAAGCTGGCAGCTAGCTTTGTTGGTATAATGTCATGAAATTTATCATGTCAGTCTGCAAATTAAAGAACAATTCCGTCAGAAAGCCTGGTGGTTCCTGGAGAAGTGTTGAGGCTGAAGATAGGAAAGAGGAGAAGGGCACCTCAGGGAAGTTGAGGTCAACACGCATGGAGGCCAAGTGGGTAGGAGCACAGGCTCATGATTTAGCTTCGTGAGTTAGGTTGTCTGAGTTCAAACCCTGCTTCTCTTGCTTTGGGCAATTTACTGAACCTCTATGTGAGTTTCCTCACCTGTAAAAGGAGCTACTAAAGACTACCTGGTGTAGTTGACAATTAAATGAAAAAAAATGTTCATAAAATACTTAGAACAGTGCTCACTATATGTTAAGTATTCAGTGTTACTGGAGAATAGAAACCATGCTCTGGGCCTTTGGATAACTCCTTGGTTTGGTTTAAAGGGAGTGAATAATCCTGGCACTTCATTTCACTAAGAAGAGAATTATTGAAATGCCTTTTCCCAGGTCAGTGGATTTGGAAGTTTCCACACAGTACCTTGGGTGTCAATACACTTAGACATTTACATCAGAAAAAATAAAATCCAGCAGATAGGCATCTATCTTTCTCATTAAGTGAAAGTCATGTCCAACTCTTTGTGACCCCATGGAGTATACATTCCATGGAATTCTTCAGGCCAGAATAATGGAGGGTAGCTTTTCCCTTCTCCAGGCGATCTTCCCAACCCAGGAATCAAACGGGAGTGTCCTGTATTGCAGGCAGATTCTTTACCACCTGTCAGGAAAGCCCTCTTTCCCACTGGGCATAAACTTTTAATATGAAAATGCTTTTAGAGTTACTATATAGAAAAATAATTTTATCTGATAATTATGTTTCATTAAATCCTCAAATACACAGGCATAGGGTAAAAATGTTGAAACTGAATGTAGAAAAAACCCAACTTGTATCGCAAAGCAGGTCTCCATCACATTTATATTCATAGTGCCCACTGAATCAAGGTTATCCCTCAAGCAGGCTTCTTACAAAATTATTTTCATTTCATAAATCCCACTGAAGAGTTGGAGCTTTAACTGTTCCCTGAACCAGAGGAATCAAAGGCATTTCTGCACATGAAGTATTTCAGATCTCATTCTACATTTAGTGTGTCTACATGTGGTTCTGAATTGTAGAAAGCTCCAGAACTGTGTGCCCAAGTTACCTAGGCGTCTTTCATAGGGGTTGTAGCTATCTAAATCTTAGGCCCGCCAACAGTTAAACTTGGGAATTAACCAAGAGATATGGTGGTTTCCATGCTAGAAGTCAACAGAGAATCAGCAGAAACTGTGAGAGAGCAATTTCACTGGTGACCTTCTGACTCCCCAGAGGTAAATGGGAAAGATGTCTGTCATCTACACAGAAGACATCCTGGCCACTGGTCTGAGGTTGACTGACTGACTGAGTTTTAAGTTGGGGTTCAGTTTGTATGCTAACAATTTTTCAGTTTTTAGCTATAAGGGGAAATGTTATGAACAAAATTTTAAGAAAGAAAATTTAAAATAACCTATGCTAGATAATAAAAAAATCTTTTTTAAAAAATTAAAGTTGAAAATGTATTTTAAATCTCTCTAATCTACCTTTTTTTTTTTTGGTCTCTGTTAAGGAAAAAGTTCTGTAACTTTTTATAAACCATATATCATGCATGTATTTTGGTTCAGCCTCTCAATACTTTTTGACATATGCAAGGCATGAATGAATAATTATAATAACTACAAAAATATTTATATATTTTGTACATTTATATTATAATTATAAAATGCTAATTATTTACATTTATATAAGATTTATTTTTTAATATATATAATAATAAATATGAGACTGATAAGTAAGTTAATGGTTCTCTAAAAAAGCTCTAAACTAAAAAGGATGGTCTATACTTATTACTTAACAGTCAGAAAATGTTTATTCCTACGATTAAGGAAGTATTTTCAGGGACTTTCTGGACCAGCCTCTGCTCAACATGCATTTTTGAAAAGGTCTATCAAGTGCCTAGCCATGCTGTCCACAGAGAGAAATAGAGATGAAGGAGGCATGCTTGGCCCTCCAGTAGTAAGAAGCACCATCTTAGCATGAACACAGCTGCTCCCATTACGTTTAAGAAACAAACTAACAGAGGTGTTATTTGGTTCTTTCCAGGTGTAAAAAGAACTTTAAGATAAAAGATAAAATACCCTTGAGCACCATGTGGACTGCCAACTGTACAGACAAGGCTGGTGAAGCCAGCGTCAGTGCCAGGAGGCCCTTTGTCCTGGGCTGGCCCACGGTGAACTTTGTGGCCACCTTCAGGTGAGACCTACAGCTTGGTGTCCTATATCTACGTGGGTTATAAAGAAGAATATTTTAATCTGATTGTATATTGAGCCAGTGACTCACTTCTTGACTGACCATAATGACACATATGAGCGTCCCTGGTAAAGAATCTGCCTGCAATGTAGGAGACTTGCAGGAGACGCCGGTTCAATCCCTGGGTCAGGAAGATCCCCTGGAGGTAGAAATGGCAACCCACACCAGTATTCTGCCTAGGAAATCCCGCGGACAGAGAAGCCTGGCGGGCTACAGTCCACGCAGTTGCAAAAAGTCAGACATGACTGAGTGACTTAAACAACAACAGATGACACATATGCCTTGTACTTCTCCCCCAAAAAAGGTTTTTATGTGCAAATGCACGTATATGGATAGTAAACAGTGGAAACAACTGGAGTAATTTCCTTTGGTTTTGATCAGTGGTTTTTCAGATGGGCTATCTGAGCTACTTGGGAAGCCAGATCCTCATGTGTTCATGGTATCCTTGTATGAGGAAGGAGGATCATGAGAGCAAGACTCTAGGACCCCTCACCAATATCCTGCCCTCAATCCTGATTATCTTTCTTGAAAAAGTACAATTACATTTGAAAAACTGACTTTATACTCCCAAATTAATTCCCTTTAAAATGGGATTTAATTATACACATAATATTGATTGTGTCACAAAATACTAGGCTGCCTGAATTGCTGTGTACATATAATCTTATTTGGTGTGCGTAGAAGGGTGACAATAAAAACAAAGGTATGATTCCATGGAGTACACAGAGGTCAGTTTTCCAATAACATTCTTAGACTGGAGTGGGGATGGTGAATGTGGATATCCCAAGTTGACAGTCCCCGGTTCGCAAGTGTCATGAAACATTTACAACTGCCATTTGGAACAACCATACCCCAAATCTCAGTCTTTTACGCACACTGGGCATTCATCACACGCACTTGACACACTCTCTTGTCCTCCTCACCCCACTCCACCAAAATCTCTTGTATCATCACAGAGATAAGACAACTAAAATGTTGCCAAGTGGTAAATTTACTAAATTCTAGAATGCAGATGTTGACGTAATGAAAACTTTGAAAGCTTTTGGGGAAGAAATATGTATTTGTATCATTCTCTACATGTCTCCTTTCCATGACTTATTTCTCTAAAGATCCAGTTCCTATTGCTTAAACATCTTTTCCATTTTGTAAGTGAAAGGAAGCAGTTTCATTTGGGCATGTGCAGTTTCTGATAAGGGAGTGTCCCAGAAACTTCTCTCCTAGTGAGTCTAGAAAGGCGGAAGTCAGGTTTACACATGTTATTTCGGTTTAAAAGCTGTGCAAGAACATACATGGCATTCATAACAATGCCTGGCACCTAGTGCTTTTGCCATTTGCTATCTTACCCTTCTGCAGATTGCCATGAGTATTGGAAGCTGTGTTTGTGTACATATGCAGGCTGGGGAGCTAAGAGTGCGCTCTACCTCCTGGTGAAACAGTTCTTGAAATGGGGATGGGGGAGGAGCAGTGCTTTGGTAGGAACATAAAATATGGCAGCCATAGGAGGACATACATATTCCGGGCATATACCCAAGAGAAATGAAAACTTACATCCACACAACAAATGTATACACAGATGCTTACAGCTGCTTTATCTATCATAGCCAAAAAAAAAAAAAAGTGGAAATAGCCTAAGTGTCTATCAACTAGTGCATGTATAAACCAAATCTGGCATGGGGCTGAGAATGGAGGGGCCTGGGGTGTGACTCCTCAATGCACACAAGGGTTTGCCGCTGGGTACTGAAAATATTCCAGAACTAGGTAGTGGTGATGGTTGCACAATACTGTTAATGTACAGATGATCACTAACGGTCAGTTTTATGTTATGCATAATTTACCACAATAAATAAAAGTCAGTGATAAGTCTGTGTATGAATGAGCCTAAAACATTTTCAGCTCTGGACAGTAAATGCTACACAAACTTTAGCAGAGAAAATGCTTATCTTTAATAATTTACCAGTAGATTGACCTTCATCAGAGGATCATAGTAATGAATACATTTTCTAGGAACTAATTTCATATATTACAATTTATTATATGGTACACACATAAAGGAATAAAATATTGTAGGGTTTTTTCCTAAAAGGATACTCCTGTTTCTGAGATAAGACAGTTCCATCCAAATGCCAATTCCTAAGTATGATTTAATCTGAATAATAATGTTCTTTATATCTGAATAGCACTTCCACCTACAAGAACACTCAGGCATAGTTAATCCTTTTCCTGTTCTGGAAACTGAGGTTCAGAATGGTTTAGTGACTTGCCCATGACAAGTGACACAGCTTGCATCACACATGCAGTTAAGTGTTTAGATTTCAAACCATCTTCTTGTCAAGTTTAACATCTACTTCTCATCACTGTAATATGATTTAAAAAAGAGAGACTCCATATCAAGAGCCTAATTATGAAGAAGGTACAACTTACACATGCATACACATTAGTTAACAACTGGCTAGTGCTGTTTTTTTTAATCTGGAGTAGCACTTAATATGTTAGTACCAGTCTTAATATATTAGTATTTTATGTAATTCTATAATTTTAAATATATTAAATATTTAATACAATATTAAAAATATTTGTAATTTTAAAATATATTTTATTTAATTTTTCTTCCCTTTTTTAATATCGCAGTTCCTCTGAACGAAAGGAAAAATGGCAGTCCTTCCTTCAAAGGTATTTTGACAACAGTATACATATTTTAAATGTTTAACCCATGATAGAAGAATGCAAATCTCTTCAAGGCAGTGCCCCCAAACTTTGTCCTTCTCCTTGGTAGGAACGGTTAGACTCCCCTCAAATAACTTCTTGTTTAGATTTATCCTGACTGCTACTGCAAAGAATGTCCTCTCATATACATGTATGCTCTGCTTGGTTTTAAGGAAGTTCTCTGTGTCACTGCATCTTTCCCTTCTCTCCATCCTAATGCTTGGAGCTAACATTATTCTCAAAACATATGCTAGATTTCCATAAGTGTAGATTACTTATTCTAATGGAAGAGTCTCAAAGCACATGCTACTTCCTGTCCTCGAACGCAGGAAGGCCCCGGGCCCTCCAATCTAGACAGGAAAACTGAGGATTGGATCTGCTGCCCAACTCTCACATGGCAAAGGCGACCTGTTACTTTCTGGGTCGTATCTTATTTTCCTGAAAATATTTTTGCATATCTTCTTCCAATCACGAATTTGACTTTACTCAGCTTCTCTCTCCACACTTGGAAGAATAATGACAAGGGCTTCCCTGGCGGCTCAGTGGTAAAGAATCTGCTTACCAATACAGGAGACACAGGTTTGATCCCTGATACAGGAGGATGCCCCATGCCGTGGAGCAGCTAAGCCTGTGCACCACAGTTTACTGGGCCTATGCTCCAGAGCCCAGGAACCGAACCGCAGCTGCTGAAGCCCGCGTGCCCACAGCAAGAGAAGCCACTGCAAGGAGACGCTCGTGAACTGCAGCTAGAGCGTGGCCCCCACTGGCTACAGCTGGAGAGGGGCCTCCACAGCAACAAAGACCCAGCACAGCCAAAAAGTTAAACATCAAAATAAAGCACAATAAAAGATAGACATAAAGAAAGAATAATAACAAGTAAGGGACTTCTCTGGGGGTCCAGTGCAGGCGCCTGGGTTCAATACCTGGTCAGGGAACTAGACAGATCCCACGTGCCACAACTAGGAGTCTGCATGCCACAGGTAAAGATCCTGTGTGCCACAACTGAGACCCAGTGCAGCCAATTTAAATAAACTTTTTTAAGAAAATAACAGTATTTAAAATATTAGCAACATGGATTGATTTGAAAATAAGCTAAAAGCTAAAGCTAATTCGTCTACCCTATTCTGGGTTATTATTGAATTTTATTAGGTACATCAATCTAGACAAAGAGAAGGATCAGCCAAAAAGCGTTCCCCTCAAAATCTTCACTGAGGACATCAAAAACGGTGCCTGTGTAAGTATTTTTAAGATCAAAAATTAATTTCCAAGTTCTCAACTTAGCAAAATGAATCTCATAGAAATATACAGAAGAGATAGAGAGATGGGGTGGGTAGGAGGGAGAACAAAAGAGAGGAGAAAAGAGAGAGGGGAAGTAATTTAGAAAGGACTATAACACATATTTTCCCGTAAAAAGATGAGTGTTTTTGCATATATAAAAAGTGAATCCTACACAATATGATGCAGAGGGATCCACAATAGTTACAGTGCTTAAGCACAGGAAAAAAAAATATTGCCTGTTAAGTGTACATAATATTTCTCTGGATCTTTTAATAACAATTATAGTGGATCACTGTAATAAAATGATTTTCACAAGCAGTTATTTCCTATTGGAAATAAACTTTTTTATTTTTTAATGGCTGCTACTTGCATACATTGCGGTTTGGAACGCTTCCACTGTTTTTTTTTTTTCCCTGTGATGTTTTTATTTGGAATAATTGTAAACTTACAGAAAAGTTACAAAAATAGTACAAAGAACACACCATATACCATTTACCTAGATTCACCTATTTATGAACATTTTGTTCCATTTGTTTGATCATTTGTCTCCTCTCTTTCTTTCTCTCTCTCTATATTTGTGTGTGTGTGTGTGTGTGTGTGTGTGTGTGTGTGTAGCTATTTTTGAGGGTCATACGTACACCATGCCCTTTCTCCTTAAATAATTAGGTGTGTCCTAAGAATAAGGATGTTCTCTCATATATAACCATCACACAGCTATGACCTTTAGTAAATTACCATACGTGTAATACTTTACTCAACCATTTACTTTTCCGTTTTGTCAGCTGATCTCAATAATGCCCCTTTCCAGCACAGGATTAAGAGGAAGGTAATGCTAAATGCAGAAGACTTTTGAAAGGTCTTTCATTCTGAGGAATGTCTGGATAGAACTGAGCCAAAAGGGATGAAACTTAGAAAGGATCAGCATATCTCTACCTTATTTTGCTTATGCTACCTGGTGGGGCAGGGGGGGAGCATACCATTAGCCCCAGTTATTTGCATGTAATTTGATTTCTGAAAGTGTAGTGCAGTAGCCTAGACATTGGTGATGAAAAGATATCCTGGATTTTTTTTTTAGATCCTTTGTTCTACTGTAGTTTACAGTAACTCTAGATGACATAAAACAGTATTTGAAGGTAGAAAAAGGAAGTCATTTATGACAGTTATTTCCTGGCCAAGAGCAAAGCCAGGCAAAATCCCCATCTGTTCCTGAGCACCAGACAAATGCAATGCTGGCAAGAGATGCAACTAGAGGGTTCTCCGGCTGCAAAGCACACTTTCGTCTCCGCCTACATTAATTTGTGACAATGGGTTACATTCAGAAGTTTTCACCTAGAAATTTTTAAAACTCAACTTTATTTACGTATAACTTACACAAAATAAATATTTCTAATGTTCTTTATTCCTGAAGATTCAAGTTTCCTTCTAGTACGTCAGTTCACCCTGGAGAACTTTCCTTAACTTTTCTTGTATATATCTGGTACCAACAGATTTTCTTAGTTCCTTTCACCTGAAATGTCCTTATTTCACCTTCACTCTTGAAGGGTATTTTTGCTGGATATAGAATTTTGTTTGCAAATGTTTTCCTTTCAACACTCTAAAGATGCTTCACTTTCAGTCTCTATGTTTTCTGATGAGTGCTCTGTGCTCACTCAAACATCAGCCCTCTGTATGTGACTTGTCATTTTTCTTCAGCTGCTCTCAAGATCTTCTCTTTATTTTTCGTTTTGGCTGTGTGGCTATGAAGTGTCAAAGCATGGTTTTCTTTTAATCTACCTGCTTGATATTTTCTGAACTTCTTGAATTTATACATTTATGTCTTTTACCAAGTTTGAGAAATTTTAGTCATTATTAATCTTGTCTTCCTATTTTTATGGAGAATTTTTTAACGTCTTGTGTGGCCAAGAGCTATAATAAACACCCTGTTCATTGACAGAGTTTAGAATGGAACTTAAATTTTTAAAATTTTCAATCTCATTTCCTAGATTCATTGGTTTTATTGAATTGACTCATTAGATTTCAATCATGAAAATCTTAGTAATCATGACACCTGACAGAAAGAAATCACTGAACAGTAGTTTTGTTTTTAAAAACATCTTTAATAACCAGTTCTCATTCTAATTTTGCTAAAACTGACTATGTAATGGCAAAGAAATAAATTCATATTATAAAAGCACAACTCAGGAACACTGAGATGGTACTTTTTTGTTAAACTATTTTTCCTCCATTATGGAAACAGCCTTAAGGTGCTGAGGGTCAGCCTATGTGCCCTTGTGGAATTCTCAGTCTATTTCTTGCTTAAGCTCTTATATTTTGTGTGCCTCAAATCCTTTAACAGAAATATCTGTTTTACTGGAATGCTTTCTACTAGCTTCATGTTATATAAAGGAATGGAAATAGATTATAATTAGGGGCTTATAGTCTATATACAAGCATTGTACTTTGTCATTACCTGAATTATAAGCTTTGCCTTTAGAATATAGATAATACTTTAACAATAATTATTTACTCACTTGTTTAAAAATGTTTAATTTACAGCAGCTTTTCTCCCTTCTTTTTTGCAGTCTGTTACTATAACAGTGACAAATTCAGACACAGTGAATGATGTTATCAACATGTCACTTTCAAAGCTAGGAATAACTGTAAGTTACCAGCAAGTTATTTTTAGTTAAAAAACCAAGTTTGATTTTTGAGATTTGTATGTGTATGTGTGTGTCTGTGTGTGTGTATAATGTATCTATCATAAGACAGCTGATTATTTCAGATAAGTAAGTCACATTTTGTCTCATTAAATGTAGAAATTGAAGGCAGCCAAACTGTAGTAATAACCTATGTGTGTGTTGGTCACTTAGTCGTGTCTGACTCTTTGAGAGCCCGTGGACTGCAGCCTACCAGGCTCCTCTGTCTATTGAATTCTCCAGGCAAGAATACTGGAGTGGGCTGCCATTCCCTTCTTTGAGGATCTTCCCAACCCAGGGATCAAACCTGGGTCTACCACATTGTAGGTGGATTCTTTACTTTCTGAGCCACCAAGGAAGCCCCTTAATAATCTGTTCAGATGTGTTATTTGTGTATTCCCATTTTAAATTTTGTGTGAAGTCATAGCATAATGAAATCAGGCTATAATTTTACAGTTTTAATGAAAACATGCATTTTTATTATATATATTATATGCATAGACAAGAAAATATTTATGATTCTAAATATTTCCTCCTCTGTTGGATTATTCTTTTTGTATCCTCTTTCCTGATTCCTCCTGTCCCATCTCCATTTACCTCAGTTGTACCTGAGGACTCAGTCTCAGTATGAGAAAATCCTAAATGGTATGTTTTGTTGTAAATCTGATATAAAGACCACCTGGCAAGAAGCTACATCCCCTTGATGCAGGTCCCAGAATGCAATGGCTAAAGCCTCTTGTGAACTGATGAAGAAGACAAGTTCTGAATAAGACCACGGGTCTGGGGGCGTTGATGGACACATCTCTTTCATCTCATTGTGTTTTCAAGTGTCTGCTCCTTTATGTTTTGATAGGATTGTTATGGCTTGTTAAAACTTTTTTAGTGGAAGAGATGGCTATGTTTGAGGATGAGGGTTCAGAAGCGAAAAGAGGAGTGGAACATTCAGATGAACAGAACTGAAGAAAGCACTTGTAGAGCATAGATCCTTATATAAAATTATATATATATATCTCAATCTACATATCAATGTGTAAAATGTACATATAAATATAATTATGAATACATATTTACACATAAATGTGAAAATGTCTTGCTATTGTGATATGACATAATTACAGTATTTGTATTTATGTTTCTCAATGGTATAATAAAGCCCCTTAAAACCTCAAGGCATCCAGAATTTGGTATAAGACATCAAGATTTCTGTAAAAATATAATTTAGTAATACATTTTAAATAAAACTGAATTCATATGCATTAAGTACATCACCCCTCTGCACTGACTTCTAATCTATATGATATATATGCCCTGAATGAGAATTAAATCTTAAAAGAAAGTGGCTTTAGGGATAAGGCTGGGGAGACTGATTAATGTTAGAACTCATTTTATTTCATTTTTATAACATTCCTTTGCTTAATCAAAGGAAATCAAAGTGATCCATCACACTAGACAAAAAATTTCAATTTCAGTGAATAACTAGGGTTATTTGCCTATATACATATGCCTGATTTAAGGGATTCCATCATAGTTTTTCCAATTTTTACCTTAAAAGAAAAGATTTTTATCTGCTCTCTTATTTCTTATTTGCAATACAATTTTGAGCCTATTTAGTTATGTGTGTGTGTTTGTGTGTGTGATTGCTTCCATACCTGGGACTTTGCTTCCTTCATGGCAAGGCTGTGATTTTTAATCAGGAGTCAAAAGTAAGCATAGTACCTATTACCTATCACCAACAACTCTAGTTCAAACATTTTTTGCTTTATCCTCTCCCGGAGGGCTCTTCAATTTAGCAGTCTTTATAATTTAAACTTGTTTCAAATGGGATATTCAGTATTCTTAGGCAGTGATTCTGCTGGAAGAAACTGTTTGCTACATCTGACTCATTCTTCAGGTTAGAGTCCTTGTCCCTTCTCTGCCTTGAGTGGTGCTTGCCTACATCACAGCCAGTAGGCTGCCATCTACTCAAGGCCTCTTGGGCATCTGTCTCATTGTGTTAGTGGTTGCTGAGCTAATGCCTCCTTTCAAGTTTTACTTTGTTCAGGAATAGTCATGGCAGAGTTACGTGGCTTTCTGGACAACATGTTTGACTGGGCAGGGGCATTTTAAGGCAAAAGCCGGCATTCTCCAAGGAGTCTCAAAACAGCAGAAAGCAGGATTCTTGAGATTAGACTTCTCTTCCATGGTGAAGAGAAGTTTTATAAATTATTTTTATTTATAATTTATACATTTTATTTATATATTTATAATTTTATTTAAAATTACCATGAATTTTTATACTATGAACCACCCACAAAGTGAGAGGCTGACTGACTGTACTGTGATTCCACAGATCCTCACCCTTTATCAAAAAGGACAAGATGGTCCACTGGAGGCTATGAGAGAGGGACAGGGGTTACTGGAATCACCATTGTTAACTCAAAACTTTTTGTCACTCCCACGGACCAAATAGCATTTATACTGGCACTAATTCTCCTTTTGAAAGTATAGAAATGCTAAGGAAATGAGTTCTTCAAGTACCTACTAGGAAGATTTGCTGTGACACATAGTTCTTTTTGTTTCCAAGGGCTCTGAGAAAGATTACCAGTTGTGGATCAGTTCTGGCAAGAAAAAGGCCTCATATCCACTTACTGGTAAGTGTCAGGGAAAACCTAAGATGGAGTTGTTTGGATTCCAAATTGTAACTTTAAGGTCTCAAAGTAATGGTTGATCAGCTTACATGCTTAAATGCCCTTAAACTGAAAATCTCTTGCAGTATTCACTTATACACATGGTAAATAATTCTAAGCACCTGCTCTATCCCAAACACAGATAGCATGTCTTCATGCAGCAGCTTATGGTCTGCTGAATTTTGACAGCAGCGTGAATTTTTCTTCTTTACTTTTTCCACTTGACAAACAGAGTTGTCTTGAAAACAATTACTCTTTATTTACTCACTTAGATATGAAAGTAACACAAGCGGGAATTTCTTTTGCTCATACATTATTGTTCATATTCCAGCCCTGATGTTCTCAGTTCCATTTGCTAACTACTAAGTAGTCTCTATTTTGTGATAATCTTCTAAAATCCAGCCATGCCTCTGACTTCAAGTACATTTATTTAATACCTACTCTGGGCCCAAAGCTGTTCTCATAAAGAAAAGCATCATAAAGAAAATGAAATAATCACACTCAGACTCGTAGATTCTTCACTAACTAAACCATCTGCATATAACTTTGCTGTTTCTCAAGCTGAGTTCACTAGCACTGCTCTTGAAATTTTTGATAAATAGACTACATCTTTCCTAAAATAGCTATCATAGCAAGGTAACTAGAAATAATAATGCACATTCTTGGATGAGCAAATCTGTCAGGGTGGTCAGTGAAAAAAGGAGGGCTTAAAACAAGGGAAAAGACAAAATCTGTAGTAGAACTTGCAATATAGTAATGGTGACAATGACTTCTGATAGAAATCTTAGAGCACCTCCTCTTACATAATCTTTTTTTTAACTTTTTTCATCTGTTCAACAATCCTGTGAGTCTATTACTCTTTCAAGTGATCTGAGGAACATTTTCAAGTGGTCTGGAGAGTCTAAACAACTAAGTTTTTTTCTTTGATATGTATGTTCCCAGTCTTAGACTACATGGCGTCACCAAGTGTAAAGCTGAAGACAAAATCACCTCACCCATTTCACGTGTTTTTCTTGCCTTGTTGACATCCTTGTAAAAGGCAGTCAGCAGTAAAGTGAAAAACACTGAATAAACATATTTAGTTTAATAAAATGCATTAATTTAAATACAACAATGTAGATGACAACTTTTAAGCTTCGAACAGGTTCAAACACCATGGCTGGCTCTAAGGATTCCTGAGAGGCTGCCTTTCATGATGCTGCCTCAGCAGTCATTCTAAATGCATTTGTTAACATGTTCTCAGCTCACAATTATGGATTAGCTCCTGGTTATCCTGGTGACTTGGTTGTATTTTATTACTCTCACAGAAGCTTCTTCTGCCTTAAAGGATGGAAGTCGCTGTGATTCTTGTTCTGAATAGAGCACTGACATTGTTTTTACGCCAGATGTAAAACAAAAGCAAGAACTCCAGCTGCATTTAATAAATCAGAAACAAAAGAAAAGGAGCCTTCATGCAATTCTTTAAAGATGGAATCCACAGGGCGGCACAGGGCCTTAGAGAAGTCTATGGAGAGGAAGCAATTTATAGCATGAAAGAGCAAAACAAATCACTTGGCAGGCAACTCCCGATGATTTCTGGTGTGGTTTTCCACTCTGTAAACACAGTTTTGCACTTTACGTCTGGGTTTTCTCGGCCATGCAGCCTTGTCTCTGATCACTGCCTCATAGGAAACCCCTTAGAGGGAAGCAGCAGTGGGAGGGAAACATTCAGGCAAACCACCCCACTGCACTCTGCCTACTGAACTGACAAAAGGAAATGGAAAATCGGTTAAACTGACATGTGTGGCAGAACACTGATCAGAGCAATTCTTAGCATACATAGTCCAATTGTTTTAAAAATATTAAGCTCCGATGCTTATTAATATATTTACTTTGATCCTTATGAGTCTATGTGTGAGGGTCAGTGTTTCAAAGGAGGAATGTTAAAGCTAGCACTTTGCCTAAGATGTACAGGTATAGTGAGTGTCAAGGCAGAAACTGCTGCTGCTGCTAAGTCGCATCAGTCGTGTCCGACTCTGTGCGACCCCACAGACGGCAGCCCACCAGGTTCTGCCGTCCCTGGGATTCTCCAGGCAAGAACACTGGAGTGAGTTGCCACTTCCTTCTCCAATGCATGAAAGGGAAAAGTGAAAGTGAAGTTGCTCAGTTGTGTCTGACTCTTAGCGACCCATGGACTGCAGCCTACCAGGCCCCTCTGTCCATGGGATTTTCTAGGCACGAGTACTGGAGTGGGGTGCCATTGCCTTCTCCAAGGAAGAAACTAGAAGGACATAAATATTCTCAGATGAAAACAGGATGAAAGTCAATAGGGTGCAATTCACTGATGAATATATACCTTCCAAGTCAAGCAAGGTGTCTAAAAACATTTTTCTTGATATGGTTTAAACTTTTCGGCTTGGGCACCTGCTTTTTGCAGCGTGTCCCCGTGAGAGTGCATATTATGCTTACTTGGGAGTCACAGCCTTCTCTACCCAGAAGCACCTTAAGGTCAGCAGTCACACCACTGTGGCACACTCGCTCACGGTAAGGTAGGTTTGATCACACACATCCCCATTGGTCTGAATCTATATTTACATTTTTCTCCATATAGGTCATGAACATCCCTATGGAATTAAAATGAGCGATGTTCCAGCTACTGGGCTGCTGCAGCAGGGACTGGAGAACTCCGCTTCTGCTTCTGCCCTCCAGGAGGACTTCCTGGAGGGGTCCCAAGAGATTCAAGACAAGTTCATCCTGAAACCCAGGCACTCAGCCAAGAACCAAGCCAGAAATCAGCAGGGGAAAGGTGAGCCCCTTCCTTTCCTACAAGTGGCTTCTCTTGGCTCTTGGCTCTACTCCTGAAAACAACGTACAGCCAGTTCTCCATGTGGGGCTAGAGGGCAGTATAGGCAGGCACCAATTCCACCCAGAATCAAGCCCAGAGAAACACCAAAGGTCTGAAATCAAGACCCAATTCACTTCTAGGAAGTGAACCTTCTAGGAAGGTGTTTTTTTTTTTTTTTAATTCCTCTAGGTAGGCAGCATAGCACTTCCTACATATAATTCCGTATGCACACATCTGTGTGGACGTTGCTGGTGGCTTAAATGGTAAAGCATCTGCCTACAACACAGGAGATCTGAGTTTGATCCCTGGGTCAGGAAGATCCCCTGGCAAAGGGAATGGCTATCAGTCACACCAATATTCTTGCCTGGAGAATCCCACTGACAGAGGAGCCTGGCAGCCTACAGTCCATGGAATCACAAAGAGTCGGGCAAGATTGAACAACTTAAACACACACACATCTATGTATCTTATTAGAACATGAGCTTCTTATGGCCTGGGAACACACGTTCGCCATCCCAGGATTTTGTCCAGCATCTCGGGCACCTCACAGGAGGTGTTTAGAGGACTGTGTGGCTTAGATAAGACCTAGAATCTATTCTGGGCTTAGGCTGAAGTGGCCTTGGGCATTCTGGTTAGACTTGAACTCTTTTGTTTTTACGTTGGTATAGCTATTGAAGAAAATATATTTCAAAAAGAACAGTAACTAAAACATTTGCTATTTGCTAGCAAAATTAATTTTCTCAGTGTATTTTGTAATTATTAAAGTCCAAATGCTCTTGCATATAGTCTATAAGCAGAGAAGACAAGTTAGCAAGCACCTTGGTCTAACATCTGTTTATAGAAAATCTAATATTCAGTTTTAACTAGTTTAACTTAGAGTCCTGCAATATAGTTCAGTTATCAACATCCTTTTTTTTCCGGTCAGTAAACTGAATGTGCTAGTTCTGTTTGGGGGAAGACTATTTTACTTAATATTTTCGTATCCTTTCGATTTTCAAGAGGAGAAAAATCTTAAGACACTTGTGTTCAAATGTCTGGTATTGTGCCTGATGAATATTTCATTAATTAATGTTATCATTAGTAAAATGTTCATTCTGATTACTTCTCACACTGATTTAAAGTGACTTATGATAAAAGACATATATAAATCAGGTATGTTTGGGATTGACATGTACACACTGCTCTATTTAAAATGGATAACCAACAAGGACCTACTCTACACTACAGGAAACTCTGCTGGATACTCTGTAAGAACCTAAATGGGAAAAGAATTTGAAAGAGAATAGATATATGTATACTTGAATCACTTTGCTGTACAACAGAGGCTAACACAACATTACTAACCCGTTATGCTCCAATATAAAATAAAGCATTAAAAAAAGAAAAGAAACTTTCACAGAGACAAAAATAGCAATAAAAACTAAACAATATGGTTTAAAAAAAAAAAACTAAACAACATTCTTCAGTTCAGTTCAGCTCAGTCGCTCAGTCGTGTCCGGCTCTTTGTGACCCCATGGACTGCAACACACCAGGCCTCCATGTCCATGATGAACGCCCAGAGTTTACTCAAACCTATGTCCATCGAGCCAGTGATGCCATCCAACCATCTCATCCTCTGTTGCCCCTTCTCATCCCGCCTTCAATCTTTGCCAGGATCAGGGTCTTTTCAAATGAGACAGTTCTTTGCATCACATGGCCAAAGTATTGACATTGCATCTTCAGCAACAGTCCTTCCAATCAACATTTAGGACTGATTTCCTTTAGGATGGACGGGTTGCTTCTCCTTGCTGTCCAAGGGACTCTGAGGAGTCTTCTCCAACAGCACAGTTCAAAAGCATCAATTCTTTGGTGCTCAGCTTTCTTTATAGTCCAACTCTCACATACATTCATGACTACTTGAAAAACCACAGCTTTGACTAGACGGACCTTTGTTGGCAGAGTAATGGCTCTGCTTTTTAATATGCTGTCTAGGTTGGTCATAACTTTTCTTCCAAGGAGCAAGCATCTTTTAACTTCATGGCTGCAGTCACCATCTGCTGTGATTTTGGCACACAAAATCATAAAGCCTGTCACTGTTTCCACGGTTTCCCCATCTATCTGCTGTGAAGTAATGGGCCCAGATGCCATGATCTTAGCTTTCTGAATGTTGAGTTTTAAGCCAACTTTTTCACTCTCCTCTCTCACTTTCATCAAGAAGCTCTTTAGATCTTCACTTTCTCCCTTATCATCTGCATGTCTGAGGTTACTGACATTTCTCCTGGCAATCTCTTTTCTTTTTTTAAAATTTATTTAATTGCAGGCTAATTACTTTACAATATTGCAGTGGTTTTGCCATACATTGACATGAATCAGCCATGGGTGTACATGTGTTCCCCATCTTGAAACCCCCTCTCACCTCCCTCCCCATCCCATCCCTCTGGGTCTTCCCAGTGCACCAGCCCTGAGCACCCTGTCTCATGCATCCAACCTGGACTGGTCATCTGTTTCACATATGATAATTTACATGATTCAATGCTCTTCTCTCAAATCATCCCACCCTCGCCATCTCCCACAGAGTCCAAAGACTGTTCTATACATCTCTGTCTCTCTTGTTGTCTCACATATAAGGTTATCATTACCATCCTTCTAAATTCGATACATATGCGTTAGTATACTCTATTGGTGTTTTTCTTTCTGGCTTACTTCACTTTGTATAATAGGCTCCGGTTTCATCCACCTCATTAGAACTGACTCAAATGTACTCTTTTTAATGGCTGAGTAATATTCATTGTGTATATGTACCACAGCTTTCTTATCCATTCGTCTGCTGATGGACATCTAGGTTGTGTCCATGTCCTGGCTATTATAAACAGTGCTGCAATGATCACTGGGGTACACGTGTCTGTTTCTATTCTGGTTTCCTCGGTGTGTATGCCCAGGAGTGGGATTGCTGGGTCATATGGCAGTTCTGTTTCTAGTTTTTAAAGAATCTCCACACTGTTCTCCATAGTGGCTGTACTAGTTTGCATTCCCACCAACAGTGTAAGAGGGTTCCTTTTTCTCCATAACCTCTCCAGCATTTATTGCTTGTAGATTTTTGGATAGCAGCCATTCTGACTGGCATGAAATGGTACCTCATTGTGGTTTTGATTTCCATTTCTCTGATAATGAGTGATGTTGAGCATCTTTTCATGTCTTTGTTAGCCATCTGTATGTCTTCTTTGGAGAAATGTCTGTTTAGTTCTTTGGCCCATTTTATTGATTTTATTTCATTGATTTTTCTGGAATTGAGCTGCAGGAGTTTCTTGTATATTTTTGAGATTAATTCTTTGTCAGTTGCTTCATTTGCTATTATTTTCTCCCATTCTGAAGGCTGTCTTTTCACCTTATGGTTTCCTTTGCTGTGCAAAAGCTTTTAAGTTTAATTAGGTCCCATTTGTTTATTTTAGTCTTTATTTCCATTATTCTGGGAGGTGGGTCATAGAGGATCCTGCTGTGATTTATGTCAGAGAGTGTTTTGCCTATGTTTTCCTCTAGGAGTTTTATAGTTTCTGGTCTTAATCTAGATCTTTGATCCATTTTGAGTTTATTTCTCTGTATGGTGTGAGAAAGTGTTCTAGTTTCATTCTTTTACAAGTGGTTGACCAGTTTTCCCAGCACCACTTGTTAAAGAGATTGTCTTTTCTCCCTTGTATATTCTTGCCTCCTTTGTCAAACATAAGGTGTCCATAGGTGTGTGGATTTATCTCTGGGATTTCTATTTTGTTCCATTGATCTTTATTTCTGTCTTTGTGCCAGTACCATACTGTCTTGAGGACTGTGGCTTTGTAGGAGAGCCTGAAGTCAGGAAGGTTGATTCCTCCAGTTCCATTCTTCTTTCTCAAGATTGCTTTGGCTATTTGAGGGTTTTTGTATTTCCATACAAATTGTGAAATTATTTGTTCTAGTTCTTTTGAAAAATACCGTTGTTCGCTGGATAGGGATTGCATTGAATCTACAGAGTGCTTTGGGTAGTATACTCATTTTCACTATATTGTTTCTCCCAATCCACAAACATGGTATATTTCTCCATCTATTTGTGTCATCTTTGATTTCTTTCATCAGTGCTTTATATTTTCTATATATAGGTTTTTTGTTTCTTTAGGTAGATATATTCCTAAGTATTTTATTCTTTTCATTACAATGGTGAATAGAATTGTTTCCTTAATTTCTCTGTTTTCTCATTGTTAATGTATGGGAATGCAAGGGATTTCTGTGTGTTAATTTTATATCCTGCAACTTTACTGTATTCATGGATTAGCTCTAGTAATTTTCCGGTGGAGTCTTTAGGGTTTTCTATATAGAGGATGATGTCATCTGCAAACAGTGAGAGTTTTACTTTTTCTTTTCCAATCTGGATTCCTTTTATTTCTTTTTCTGCTCTGATTGCTGTGACCAAAACTTCCAAAACTATGTTGAATAGTAGTGGTGAGAGTGGGCACCCTTGTCTTGTTCCTGACTTTAGGGGAAATGCTTTGAATTTTTCACCATTGAGGGTAATGTTTGCTGTGGGCTTTTCATATATAGCTTTTATTATGTTGATGTATGTTCCTTCTATTCCTGCTTTCTGGAGAGGTTTTTTTTTTTTTAATCATAAATGGATATTGAATTTTATCAAAGGATTTCTCTGCATCTATTGAGATAATCATATGGTTTTTAACTTTCAATTTGTTGTGCTGTATTACATTGATTGATTTGTGGATATTGAAGAATCCTTGCATCCCTGGGATAAAGCCTACTTGGTCATGAAGTATGATCTTTTTAATACATTGTTGGATTTTGTTTGCTAGAATTTTGTTAAGGATTTTTGCATCTATGTTCATCAGTGATATTGGTCTGTAGTTTTCTTTTTCTGTGGCATCTTTGTCAGGTTTTGGTACTAGGGTTCTGGTGGCCTCATAGAATGAGTTTGGAAGGTTATCTTCCTCTGCAATTTTCTGGAA